TTCTTCAGACATATACACACACACACACACACACACACACACACACACACATATTTAGAGAGAGAGAAAGATATAAAGAGAGAAAATAAGAGAAAAAAACTAAAGGAGAACGAAAGAAAAACTGAGAGTGAGAAGAGAGAAAGGGATATAAAGAAAGAAAGACAAAAAACCTGAGAGAAAAGACAGAAAACAAGAGAAAGAAACAGAAAGAGAGAGACTCAGTCTACAAATCACTAATGTGTAAGATGTCTAAGATCACCATGGCAACAAAGGGATTCAGCATCAGCATCGGCAGAGATCTCCTCAGTGACTTCACACACAAAAATGAAGAACAGAGAAATGAAGTGAAAGATGACGGTCTGAGAGAGAGAGAGAGAGAGAGAGAGAGAGAGAGAGAGAGAGAGCGCGAGAGAGAGAGAGAGCGAGAGAGAGAGAGAGAGAGAGAGAGAGAGGGAGAGGGAGAGAGAGAGGTGTTTAATCTCAGACTGTTGTGCTCACACGCAGTGCTGTCATCCAGCTTCATTTCCTCACTACTGAACCCCAAACCACTGCAGCCGCATCTCTGAGCGTCTGTGCGTGAACAGCAGTCGACTCATCTATTATACAGACGGCCGGAGGCGACGGCCTCTAGAGCTCTGCAGCGCAGGAACAGAGCACGAAACTCTCTCTACACACAGAGCAGGACATTCCACAGACACACTGACTGTGTTTGCAAAGACTTCTGCCAATCCAAATAAATACATTCAGATTACAGACTGAGGTGTTTATATCTCACTCTACTCAACAATCTGATGGAAAAATCTCCGTTTACATGCTCGCTACAAGTAATCCGATCCAAAATTACGTGCATGTGTAGAGAACCACTTAGTGTAGACGTTACCATGACAACCAGCATCACGTGAGTCCAGTCAGAGTGAGATGAGCAGCAGTGAGCAGTGCTTGTGTTTTTAATTGCTTTGAAATGATGTCAGACTCAGGAAAACGTCCTTCACATGTCCTTATTAAAGAAGGCCGAGAGGAAGACGTCGTGTTCTGAGACACATAAGCTGGACGTCCGTCCCACCGCCGTCTTTTAAAGATCAGAGTGTAAACTTCGTCTCCTCTGCAGACCAGTTTCTGCTCCGCCATGTTGAACGGTATAAACTTTCACTATGACCCGACGAACATGATCAGAACGGACTTAAACTTTCCGATAGGGAATGTAATCAGATACAGGCGTTTACACGGATATTATTCTCCTATTTAACTGGTCATTTACAGGATTACCCACCTCGATCAATCGGACAGGAACTGTAGTCTGAATGGCCTCAATCGGACTAGACTATTCCGACTGAGGTGTTTACATGGACGTATTCTATTCCGATTGAGCTATTAGTCGGATTATTACAGGATTATTAGGCTGCATGTAAATGTGGCTGTCAGTCTGTGTCTGTGTGACTAAAGCTGGTGTTTACAGTGTTTATATGTAGAGGACGGCGATAAATCAATACATTATTATCACTGTGATCCAGTCACTGTCGTTACTTCTACCACAGCTGCAGCACCATAACCGAACAGTCTGGGGTGTTTATAGAGGTCGTCTGTGAGTCTGTTTAAATCAGGTGTTTACGGCAGTAACTTTATCCTCTCTCCTTCATTTTTACTGCTGCAGTTATCTCCTCTCCTTCTGTTTAAGTGCAGAAACAGATGGAGGGATGGAAACAGAAGAGCAGAACGTTTATCCTCCTCCAAACCGCCTCGGTCACGAGCTCACGGCCTGCAGCCTCTACAAAGAGCTCGCTCATCTGTTAAATCCAAAACAGATCAAACTCTCGCAGCAGCTCGGCCTGAGAAGAGACGGAGAACGGCGCAGTGTGTGTGAAGAGGCATCACATGAGTGAGTGTGTGTGTGTGGTATCTTGTATTGCTATACTTGTGAAGACCCCATGTCCTCACTACGATATATATACTATATGAAATTTTTGCTCAAGTGAGGATATTTTGCTGGTCCTCACTTGAGCATGTGTTGTTTTCACCACAATTACTGTTTTTATTTGAAAACTAAAAGAGCAGAAAAACCTTAACACTGAGGTTAAGGTTAGTTTTAGGTGTAGTATTATTTAGCTACAGTAACACAAAAATCAATAGAAACCTATGGATGTCCTCATATAGATAGCAAGACAAACGTGCGTGTGCGTGTGTGTGTGTGCGTGTGTGTCTCTGTCAGATTTTTGGTATTTTATCCTGAACTAAACTCACTGCACTCTGACATCAGTTTGCCGAAGATCAACCACACAAGCTCTTTTATTAAAACCATGTTTCGGTGAAATAAGACACTCTCTCTCTCTCTCTCTCTCTCTGTTATTTGGCAATAAGGAAAATTAAAAGCATGAAGATAAACGTCAACTGCACTGAGGAGAACATATCTGAAAGGGCTCTGAGCTCCATCTAGTGGTAGACACAGGTATGGCAGACAATGTTCTGCACAACTGCTCCCCTTTAAAGGGCCCATATGACACAAACAGCCAACTTTCCTCACTTTCTTTTTACATTTGATTTGAATTTAAGTGCAAACACAGATCAATGGATGGAAACAGAGAAGCAGAACGTTTATCTTGCTCTTAACAGCCTGGTTTGTGTGACATTTGTGATGTCATAAAAACCAATACATAAATCCACCTTTTTCAGCCTTCAGCAGTTTAGCTTCACCCACTGAGGCTGACGTTATGTGGGGTGTTTCAGTTTGGGCTACTTTTTGAACACAGGACAGCCAATCAGAACAGAGATCCCTCACATATACCGGTCTTAAAGGCACAGTAACAAAAACAGCCTGCCTAAATGCTCAGGGATAAAGAGACGGTCATGCAAAAAATGAATTATGACTGTTACATAAACCAAAACATAATTCATAAGTGGACATTGGGGGGGGTGAATATAGCAAAAATGTCAAATACTTTTTAAGGTCCTTAAAAAGATCAAAAGATTAAATACATAAATCTACACATTAGAAAACACACATAAAGGAAGTAAACAGACTGAAACTGCTTGTCTAGAGACGCTGCTATTTTATGAACGTTATATTATTAAGATAAGTAAACCTTTTAAGTCCCACAACGAGGAAATTTCACCTCTGCATTTTGACCCATACGTGCAGTGAAACACCACATACACACTAGTGAACACGCACACTAGGGGCAGTGAGCACACTTGCCCGGAGTAGTGGGCAGCCCTATCCGCAGTGCCCGGGGAGCAGTTGGGGGTTAGGTGCCTTGGTTAAGGGCCCTTCAATCACTTACTGTCGGCTCAGGGGATCAAACAAGCAACCTTCCGGTCACAGGGCTGGTTCCCTAACCTCCAGCCTACAACTGCCCCCCATGATCTATCAATACTGCTAAAATCAGATATCTGAAAAGCATCGTCATGGTGTTTAAACATCAAACTTTATAGCCAACTTGTATATCTCCCTAATTTCTATCCATAATTATGTTATCACTGCTTCTAATGTTACATTATCAATGCCATCTCTCTGAGATTGTACTGCTGACATATTTATTCAGGTGATCAGGTCTGCAGTTTCCCCAGAAATGACACCCAGCATCTTGGCTTTGTGTAAAGATTCCTCTGTATCTGAGACACTTCTTCCTGAATTAATACTACTACGAAACTGTGTTCATAAGCTGCAGGACAATAAGTAGCTAGTACATGTAAACATTTTAAAAATAAATAAATAAATAAATAAATAAATGAACAAACGAATGAATAAATAAATAATCACAGTAACACTGCTGTGTCTGATACACTCGTACCAAAACTACACACTACCAAATCAGTGAATAATATCTGCGGTGGTCCTATGGTGGTCTCTTTCCATTGACGAACAGTGGAGTGGGCAGATAGATTGTAGGCAATAGTCTGTAACTGTAAACCAACAAAATGCACCCAGAGTCGTGCACAAAAGTCTGAGCATCCCCTGGTCAAACTGCACGTTTTGTTGCTTTCCTAAGTGAACACAAGTTAAAACATACTACACTGGGAATAACACAGCATTTGTCTGGAAATGTGTGCTTGTTTAACATATTGGGGGAAAAATAATAAATCATAAAATGTTCCATAACGTTTACACAGGCAACATTTTATGTTTTATTTTTTCCTCCAATATGATAAAATTCAGCAATAAACCTTTTTAACTCCTTGGGACCACCGGTGGTTCCAAACTGCACTTCGTCATATTCTTCACAACTTTCATATTTCATAAGCTACATTCTAAAGGTGGGGGTCGTATGAGAGCTGTAACTGTCTTCTGTCCAGTCAAATAGATGGGTGATGTAATTTTAAACCCTTATGATAAAAGAAGCTGAACTCACAGTTTTTTTTTTCTACTGAAAGTCGACCCATTTTTCCACAAATCTGGGCTATAAACTATAAACAGACGGCGTCTCTTCAGTGATCTGCTCTGTAAAAATTATATTTACAAAATAATACAAAGATTTTTGGCTTTCAGCAGTAAATTATATGCATATAGCGATATGTGTGATCATAAAACACACGTTCTGTTCATTTGAGGGGAACTTTTAAAAAAAAAAAGAACATTTACTTTTGATGCATTTACTGAATAATTTGCCTTACGATTTGGGCGTGTAAATTCAGATGGAAAAACCAAAACATACCCTGGAGAATAAGAGGTAAAACAGTAATTGTATGTTCTGAAAATGGTATATTAGGTTATTTTCACTTAGAAAAGCAACAAACGATGACCAGGGACACCCAAATGCTTTCGTACAGCTGGATACGGTAGATGTACCTGATAAAGTGGCCAATGAGTGTGAAGTATTCTTGATATGACTTTATTATTTTCTGGCGAATGAATTAAGTCTACAGTTATGTAATACAATTGAAGATTTCTTCAAATCAAAGCGTCAAAAATGGACTGAATAAGCACAGTGTGTATGAGCTGTTAGTGGTGGTCTACACGTGTGTATGTGGATGAACAAAAACCCGTTACAACAGTCAAGTTTACTCACCATCCTCAGCAGAGGCCTCGCTGCTGTAGCCATCGTACTCGGCTGCTAGGGGGCAGTATTTCTGCCGTGTGTCCCACCCATAGCCCTTATGTTGGCGGATGCTGGCCCCTGTGCAGCCGCCGCGGAGACCCTGCGAACGAGACACGGCCTCCTGGTACTGACCCATCACCTCATCATCGCTGTCCGATGACGAAGCCTGAAAATCCGCCTCCCCATAACCCTTATCTGCCAGAGAGAGGGAGAATAACAACAGCATGTAAGATACCTCAACGGCCACTAGATGGCAGCACAGATCAGAAATCAGGCTGCTGAAGAACCACCACAACCAAATGTGCTTAAAGTTCTCCTTAAAGGAACATGGCTAGGTTTTCAAAAGCATCTTAGGCGATTCTGAAAAGGTAAAGCGAGCATCACACTCAACACTCTCTCTCTTCATTGAAAATGAACAGCTGCCAATTAGCACTTTGCAATGGTTCCACACACAGTGGTAACACTAGCATTTGGTCAAGCTCTTACTTCAAAAAACAAACAGTAGTGTACAAAAGAAGAGGAAAAATAAAATTATATTTTACAATGATGTTAAAACGAAAACATAGAGGAGAAAGGCTTGAAACAGAGAGCGACGTGGAGATGAACGTCTGGGGTAGCTGCTAGAACACAAACAATCCCGACAGCCAACCATGCGAGCTCCTCATGATAGAAAAGTTAAATATCATTTTTGAAACGAGAAAAAAAGAATTTACAGCAGAGACCTGGACTGCAGCACATGATCCAGGTTTACATTCCAACAGAAAGAGAAAGCAGGACAGCACCATGTCTTTTAAAAGCAGCAGAAAGATAAGAGGGAAACAAAGTGCCCCAGAAGTCTCCATAGAAGAAAATGACACAGCAGCAGCCCAAGGTTCGAGCTACTTTGACAGAAAGATCACCATCCATCCACTCCAGACAGAAGAAGCTGGGAAACGTCAGCTTCTCACCTTTACCGCTGTTCTTTTTGCTCCTCTCTCGCTTACTTCGGTCTCGTTTGCTGGAAGACTGGAGGAGAAGAGAAGACTTCAGTTTCTCAAGAACACCTTTCTGGCTCCTCTGAGAATCCTGACGTTTATGTTTAGTCGGTCCGGTTTGACGTCTTGGTTTGAGCTCAGATTTCTGCTGCTGTGAGATCGAGTCTGTGCTGGTTTTGCTTTGCTGTTGCTTCTCTCTCAGAGTGTCCGGTGTTTGCGAGAGGTCACTGCCGGTAGAGAAAGTTTCTGTAGAAAGACCAGAACCTGTGCAGTAGTCTGTGGTGTAGGCCTCTGGGTCCTGGGCTAAGCTGGGTGAAGCCTGGGTTTGAGCCGTGCCTGGGTTCTCAGGGTTCTGGGCTAGGCAGTTCAAGGCCTGGGGCTCAGTTTCAGCTTTGCCCAGGCTGGCTTTTGGGTCCTGGGTAACGCCTGCTTTGGGTTGGATTTCAGCTTTGGTCAGGTAGGCCTCAGAGTCTTGGGCCAGGGTGGATGAAGCCTGAGACTGGATTTCAGCCTTGTACAAATAAGCCTCAGAGTCCTGGACTAGGCTAGAAGAAGCCTGAGACTGGATTTCAGCCTTGTACAAATAAGCCTCAGAGTCCTGGACTAGGCTAGAAGAGGCCTGGGGCTGGATTTCGGCCTTCCCTAGACAGGCTTCAGAGTCCTGGACTAGGCTAGAAGAAGCCTGGGGCTGGATTTCGGCCTTCCCTAGACAGGCTTCAGAGTCCTGGACTAGGCTAGAAGAAGCCTGGGGCTGGATTTCAGCCTTCCCTAGACAGGCTTCAGAGTCCTGGACTAGGTTAGAAGAAGCCTGGGGCTGGATTTCGGCCTTCCCTAGACAGGCTTCAGAGTCCTGGACTAGGCTAGAAGAAGCCTGGAGCTGGATTTCAGCCTTGTCCAGGTTGGCTTTTTGGTCCCGGGTTATGCTGGACGAAACCTGGGATTGGAATTCCATCCTGCTCATGTAGGCCTCTCTCTCCTGGGCTGCAGCCTCCTTCTCCGCCGCCTCTTTCCTGCGGAGCCTCTCCAGCTCCTCAGCTTTGACTTTGTCGATGATCGTATTAACCTGTTCTGCGATCTCTCCGCTGACCGTAAACGTCACATCACCCAGAGCGCATGCAATATCGTCCACTTTTTCTGATACAGTGTTCAAAATGGACGACATGGAGGGAAGACTGCTCTGAAGGTTCCTGAAAAACGCCATGTTTTCGACGAGTTACAGACGGCTAGTGGGCTTCTCCTCTTTGAAAAGATCCCTATGAAAGATTACATCAGATATTAATAGTATTGGTTGTGGTTAATATTCATTCTTAGGATCTTTGCATATCTGCACGTTGGTCTTATCCCATCTGATCTATGTTGTACTCCTACAAATACCTTGTTTACAAGATACCTTTAGTTTGAATACCAAGGACTATGTATGATTTACTGCTGTACATCATATTTGTTTACTACCTCTGAGAGGTTCTGCCAGATAGTCTGAGAATGAGAATCAGAACCTTCAACAGTTTTGAGGAATCTTGGGTTTTGAAGCTCTCATTAGCTCATCTTGGAGAGTTAGAAAAATGCAGCTTCATATTTTTCTCGTCATCAGGGATTAATAATGCCTGGTGTTTCAGGCAGATCTTCAGGCACTCATTGTCGTGTAAAGGTCCACTCTAACCACAGGAAACGGCTTGTCCTCGTGGGGAGTCCTGTTATTTTGGCAGCGTGCAGGACTGGAAGTTTTCCAAAGCCAAAGGGCAAAGGGACAGCGGGATCCCTTTTTGGCAGGATAAAAAGCTGGAGGAGTCACCTGCAGTGTGTTTGGGAGTTCCTTTTCTGGCGAGGTGCAGCTTTGGATGAAACTGAAAGCTTCATTTAATTAGGGTTCCCACTGAGGCTTCACTAAGAATTATGAATTACAAATAAAAGATATTACATAAAGTTTTACACACAAATTTAACACTAAATAAAAATAAAAATTGAATTTTGAATAACGTACCAAAAAACTCACACAAAGCCACTGAGCCTTTACAATTCTACAACTTTTGGCTCTGATTTTAGTGAACGTCAGCATGTTAAATATGTTCTCCATACACTCTTGAAAACTCTTCGGGTTCTTTAGAAAAGACAAATGCTCCATTTAGAACCATTAACACTCAAAGAACCATTTGCATGATTAAAGAGTTCTTTGCCTGGTAAAATGGTTCTTCAGATTGATGGAAATGTGCTGTATATGGTTCTAGATAGTACCTTTTTGAAAAGGGTTCTATATAGCACTAAAAAGGGTTCTGCCCTTGTCTATTGCTTATAATGTCAAGCTTGTAACAACAGAACACCACTTTTTGCTACTATATAGAATACGGGGTTCATGGCTGTTTCATCTCTAAATGATGAAGACTAAATGATTTGTGTGCTAATAGCGCCCCCTTCTGGAGAAACTTTGTATTCCACAGCCACGCCCACACGCTTTACACACCTCATTACAGCAGAAGTGCTCCGGAATTCAGCTTAATGCCTTTAGGAAACCATGAAGTCTAATATTTTCATGATTTTGCAACTTTCAGTATTTAACATTATTCCGGAAGCCGTTTAACATTAAATTAGTCCTCTAGTCCTCAGTTTTCTTTCCCAACATGGCTACTATCGTCGCTGAAGCATCATCAGCATTATTATACTATAACAGATCAGCTCCTAAACTGACCCGAATCTTTGGTTCGCGTCCTCGGATTCTTTAAACTTTACTTCCAGACTTTTTAACTGTTCTTTGACGCTGCAGCCTCGTTCTCCTACGGCTGTGTCCGGCCATTTCTTTCAGAATCTCTTCAAACACGGGTTTTAGATGAGTCTCTTCTAATATTTGTACAGAAATATCACCCCAAATGTTTATGAGTCTCAGCAGCGCGAGATTATGATGAATGTCGAGTTGGATTGAAGTAAAAGCCACGTGAATTCCAATCTGGCTGTTGAGACGATTTACATTAAGATATGCAGAACATATTTACAGTACAAACCTTGTCAGTAAACTATGAGGGCAAAAATAACAAACAAAAACAAAAACAAAATAAGTGTTCATTAATCGTTATCGAGGTAAAACATTCAATTAATCTTGATACTGATTTGAGGTCATATCGCCCAGCACTAGAGCATGTCTTGAGTTTTGGGTTTCGGTCAAGAATCCAAAAGACCCAACGTCACTAATTAAAAGTTAAGAATGTTTATGCTTTCTCCCATAAATGACCACTTTCGAGATGCACGTTTTGGACAGCAATGATGTCTAAATTAGTAAAATATAGAGGTAATTTCAGTAATCAGCCATTAGATAAGCACATAAGCAGTAACGCTTCTAACCTATTTGTATGAGAACTGCTGTGAGCGGGGATGTTAAAAACATCCTCCTTAAATCAGTCAGTTTTCAGCAGGTGCAGGTGCTGATCTTCACCTTCAACTGTGAACATTAATAAAAAAACTCCTACCCCAGCTGTGTTTACGCAAACGTCTAAGCTCATCCAGCAGCGCAAATCCAATCAGGTGAAGCAGAAAAATAAATCTGATTTAAGCTTTACAACCTGGAGTGGCAAACCAGACAAGAAGTAATCAGAGCAAATCTAAAGTGTGACTGCACGATCTCATCAACGTCAAATTCATAAATATACTTCACTGATTTCACTATAAAAACAGCCCCGTTCATCGTTCATATTTCTGCTTCTGTTGAACACATAAAAAAGACTGTGTGTGTGTTACGATCTGATCATTTACTATATCTCTATTATAATGTCATATCATAATAAACTCACTATGGAAGGGAACACATTCTTAAATGTAAAGCCTGATCCTGAAAGATGAAGCCACGATCGCTTTCAGACTCTGTATCTGTATGTTATTACTGTCACACTGCAATTCTGTTTAAACGTACATAAATAACTTAAGTAATTGATTACTTAGATATACAGTGAATTTACATTTGTATTCTGTTTCAACAGGTTTGAATCTGCACTTCCGTTTCAGCAACAAAATCAGCAAAAAAGTAAATGCTTGTTTTTTTTCTGCAAAACAGGACTGTATACAAAGTTTATCAGATTCAAATTATAATAAAACATCTTCTCTTCTACTTACAAACACATTGAAAGTTTAGAGTCTTCACGTCCCACACAGTTTCTCAGAAATAATTCAGATGAAATTACAACTTAATGTAAACTGCAGTGTTTACGGCCAGCAGTAACACTTAATCTGATAACTGCA